GAATATAATTATTTGATAAAAGTGAACAAATCTAGATTTATTTAAAAATATATAAATATTTCTCTCTAACATATTTTTCAATTTTTGACACAAACTTTGTTAAATAAAGTTATAGGTTACAGACGTTTTAAAAGCTCGATTTGTCTCATCATCAGTAAGAAAAATTATTGTTATAAAAATTCTTATCATTTATTTATAAAATGTGTTTACATTATTAATATAGTTATTAATTTGCACTTGATGATGGCATCTAGAACTCATAACATTACTTAATAAAGTTAGTGCAAAAAATATTAGTATTGTATTGGTGTTTTGAGTGTTTTATTACATATATATATATATATATATATATATATATATATATAATAAAAAACTGATATTTTAAGAATCAACAAACAACAATTCCATAACATATTCCTTCCACTTCGTCAAAAAAAAACTAATACATGACCAAGAGATGTCGAAGAACAAAAACTTCTTCAGTCATAATTCGACAACAGTTTTGGTAACACGTGAAGAACAATATTTGGTGACCCTTTCATTTTTAAAGTGACCCTTGGATAAAAATAAATATTAGTAAAAATTATTAAAATTTTCCAAAGTTTGTTGAAAAGTGTTTGGTGAAAGGATATTTTGATTTTTTTGCAAAGGTAAGTTGTAGTATAAAATATTCTTGAAGGTTAAAGGTTGAAATTCAATTAGTACAAAAAAAAATTTGAATATATATATATATATACGTAGATATATAAATATATATTATTTTTGACACTCGATGCGTGTCATCATTTTATTGTGCATTTTTACTATAAAATTATCTATTATTTTCATTATTCAATCAATTTCATTAGTAGAAATTTAATTTTATCGAAATATAGTTTTATAAAAAAATCAAAAATGTAAATATAAAATTCAGAGTGCATAATATACATATATATGTACGTTTTGACACTCAATCTGTGTCATAATTGCATTGTATATTTTTTATTATAAAATTGTCTTTCCATTCCAATTAATTTCATAACTACGAGTTTAAAAATAGCAATTTATAATTTCAAGTAAAAACTAAAAAAATTAAATATAAAATTATGACGCAAAATATACCTGCATATGTACGTTTCGACACTAAATGTGTGTCATCATTTTATTGTACATTTTATATTATAAAATTGTCCATATGTATACATTAATTTCTATTTACGAGATTAATTAACATTTTATAATTTCACACAAAAAATCACAAATATAAATTTTATCTAAAAAGCACAGTGTACGTTTCGACTCTAAATGTGTGTCATCTTTTTTCTGTACTACACCAATTACTCTAAAAAAATATTTTATTTAAGATTACTTCTTAAAATTCATCACACTATACAAATTATTAAATAAATATTTGAGACTTGTTTTACTACGTTTTGACACTAAATGTGTGCCATCGTTTTCTTGCACTACACTTAAAATGCACTTTTTATATTCATTTATTTAATAATTATAATTTTAATTCAGATATAAAATAAAATACTAAATAAAATGAGAGATTTTGGTTTTATATTGTCTTTGTATTAACATTTAAATAAATATTAGACATCTCTAACATTTAAATAAATATTAGAGATTTGTGTGACTACGTTTCGACACTGAATATGTGTCATCATTTTTTTGCTTTGCTTTATTATACTTTTATTTTCAAACTTTTGAATTTGATTAAATTATAATAAATATAAATAAAAAATCCAAGTGTTTTAAGTCTAATTATTAGAAACGTAAAAAATTTATGATATACGTTTCGACACAGAATGTGTGCCATCATTTGTCTTTCCTAAAAAATAATATTTCAAAGTAATTTATTTATCAATACATTTGGTTGTTATTTATTTGTCTTTTAGTCAATTTGAAACTCTTGTTTGATGGCACGCATTTGGTCACAAAATGTAGATAATATATTTTTTATTATATAATAAAAAAACAGGACCGAATTATGTAAAACAATATATTACATAATTCGGTCCTGTTGATTTGCAAACGAACCAGTAATATATTTCAGTGCATAGAAAGTGCATATAGAAGTCAGTTGCATCATGCAATCCTATACAATATCTAACAAATAAATAAACAGCTGGATAAAAATAATAAAAATTAATAAAAAATTGTAATAAATGAATTTTAAAAATCTATTTAATAATAATAGTTTTGAAATGACACTATACACTAAAATATGTGATGCACGTGCAAGATTTCTTTGTCATTACAGTGAAACCTTTTGGCCCTAGAAAATTCTTTGATTTTTTATATATTAATATAAATGTCAACTCTGTAATAATAAAATATATTTTCAATATTATACAATTAAACACAGTTTCTAAATTCGGTCCTGTA